CATCATATTTCGTAATATGATTGGAATCTGAATATATATTTAAAATGACAAGATGGAAATTAAAATTTAAATAAAGAATTACTTTTCTGTAAGTTGCTCCGAAAGCAGTCATTTAGCAGCAAATTGATAGAGAAAGGTACGCACTGGCCCTTTAAACCATCGTGTGGTTTCCGGCATGCGAGCCAGAAGTATCTCAATTTAACACATCATTGGTTAGTATTATTAGAAATTTCGCTGGGCTCTGAGCACATTAAAGCGAAGGCCAAGAGCTCCGGCCAGGGGCCAGGGGCCGAGAGGGCAGCCTCGTTAAAGAGGGCGAGAGGGCCTCAGGCCAGCCTCCCCCAGCAGAGTGGGGTTTCAGCCGCTGTTATTTTCTTGTTGGAAGTTCAGTAGCAATCATGAAACAAGAACTAAAAGACCCATAAAGGTCATTGCTCTTCCCAGAGGCCACAGATGTATAGTTTTGCTGTCTGTCCACACTTCTTTTCGGCCCCTTGAAATCTGACCTGGGAACAAGGGTCCATGAAGGCCCATGAACCACTTGAGCAAAACTCAAAGGTCTGTCTGGTGCTCTCCCGTGAGGAGAACGCACAGGCTGCATTTCCCAAGTACACCAAGCTCGTCCCATCTCTGTTCCTAGCCCCATGCCATGCACCAGCGCATCCGATCAGCCAACAGTCATGGATGGTCCCTCCGCCGGCTGGCACCATAGCTCGGAGTCCTGCCCTCAGCCATTCACTCCCCGGGCACTGACCCTTGGCCTGCACCCGCTGGACCGGACACGGTGCCAGCCCGCTGCCCATGACCTCATCCGCCAGGACAGGCTTAGAAGTGGTCCTGGAAGGCCGGGTGCCCTGACTGATGTGTGACAGGCACAGGGTTGAGAATAAGCAAAGGCCCCGAGCAGTCTCGTCTGGCATCTTTCAGGTGCCCTGACCACCAGGGTGCCCCTGGCCTCCATGGCACCTGTGTGCAGAGCAGAGCAAGGTGCTCCCCGCTGGTGCAGAGGTTCGCCAAACTCTGGGTAGCCAGAGCCTCAGAGGCTCACAACCTGACCCCCAGTGCTGCCAGCCGGTGGCCCCTCTGTTAGGCATCTTTGCACGGTGTGCCCCCTGCAGCCCCAGCACCTTCCCTCAAAGGGACCGGGCCCGCCGGTCTGTGGCTGGCCCTCCCCAGGCCATCCGCACTGGGAGGCCCACGGCTGGGTGCAGGCCCCCACCCCCACAGGCAGGCACTGCAGCCCAGACCACCGCGGCACAGAGACTCCAGCCATAAAGAACCGGGGCCTTTCGTGTTCTTCAGTGGCTGAAAGAAGCAGGATGCTGTCAGCCACCATAAAAATGTGACCTTTGAAAATTTACAAGAGCTCAGGGTTTAAAAGCTGCTGCCTTAATGATGCATCCCATTAGCATCTCATTAAAGGGAAGCAGAGAGAAGCCTGCTTGGGACCGGTGATGGGCAGAGAGGGCCACTCCATGGCGCCAGGCAGGGGTGACTCTGCTGAGCAGGCGCGTGTCAGAAGCAGAAGCATGGCCAGGAGCGCTGGGAAAGGCCAAATGTCTGGGTGGCTTCACTGACATCCTGCACGATGGCAAGGGAAAGACCCGGGGGCTCCCACGACCGGCCTGTTCTGGCTGCGTGTGTCAGTGTGCAGGAGGAGAGGGACCCGGGGAGGCCCCGAGGAGAGGGACCCTGGGAGGCCTTGAGGAGAGGGACCCAGGGAGGCCCGGAGGAGAGGGACCTGGGGAGGCCCCGAGGAGAGGAAGTCGGGGAGGCCCCGAGGAGAAGGACCCGGGGAGGCCCCGAGTAGAGGGACCCGGGGAGGCCCCGAGGAGAGGGACCCGGGGAGGCCCGGAGGAGAGGAAGTTGGGGAGGCCCCGAGGAGAAGGACCCGGGGAGGCCCAGAGGAGAGGGACCTGGGGAGGCCCGGAGGAGAGGGACCCGGGGAGGTCCCGAGGAGAGGAAGTCGGGGAGGCCCTGAGGAGAGGGACCCGGGGAGGCCTCGAGGAGAGGAAGTCGGGGAGGCCCCGAGGAGAAGGACCCGGGGAGGCCCAGAGGAGAGGGACCTGGGGAGGCCTGGCATTCTTTTGGGGGAGACCTAGGTAGCTTTTGGCAGAGAAGTGGACTTCCGGGGACACTGGACCATGGTGGGGGCTAATGGGCACTGAGCTCAGAGCTGGAGCTCCACATACGGCCCCAGAACTGGGGCCTGGGGTTTACTTCAGACCTGGAGTGCTTTGCAAGGGCTCAGGGATGTGGAGAGTCTGGTCAGGCCAAGCTGACGCCCACCACCAGGCAGCCCCACCCGAACACTCCTTGAGAACCCAGGTCGGCGCTTTTTCTGAAAGGTGTGGAGGAAGCAATGCTCCTTATTTTAATAAAATCAATAAAACATCCTGAAGTGCAAGCTGCCGGTCGTTTCAGAAGATGCAAGGGCCACACGGAGTACCAGCGGCTTGATTTACCTCCCCTGAAGGAAAATAAAAAGACTCTTTCCTTCTCACTGCAGACACAGGAGCTGGCTTGTCATCTCCAGGAAAGGCACCAGCCTGCAGCAGGCACAGCGAGCCCCCCACCCGGGGCCCCAGTTTCTCCCTGGGGTCTGCCTGGCCCCTGAGCTGCCCCCTGCAGAGAGCGGCCTCCTGAGGGCAGCCTCGCTCTCTGTCCCCTCATCCCTGGGTAGAGTAAGGCTGTTCTGAAGCTTGCTCACCAGCAAGCTGCCAGAGTGCCTTGGAACCAAGGGCCTGAGCACTGGAAAAAATGCAATTTTTCAAGTTCAGAAATTCCGCAGTTTTAGGGTAAAAACTCAGAACACCTGAAGTTTTAGAGTTCAGAACCTGGTCACCCACTCTCCGGGTGGAGACCCCAAACACCTCCACCAGCTGCGGCGGCGGCTGTGAGGTCCAGGCCAGCGGCCCCCTGGGCCCCTTCCCCACGCTGTTGTGCTTTGCAGGCTGGGCAGGAGGGCTGATCTAGCAGGAGAGAAATGGGGGCCAGACAGGTGTCCTGAAATCTCGACACCCGGCCTGGGAGCCCCTGGATTCCCTGTAGCAGAGAGGGGTTGCAGCGCCCCCTACTGGCAGAATGTTTCTGTACTGTCATTGAAGAGGGTTCTGGTGCGGAGGCTGGGGTCTCTGCATTTCACCCCAAACAGGGTCCTGACTGGGGCAGGGTCCCCACAGCTTCTTTGCCCTGAGACGTCTCTGATTTGGGATGAAGCAACCTCTGTCTCCGAGCCCACCATCACCTGGGGAGCGTAGAAAACAGGCTGCGGACAGGACATGCTAGAAAGCTGTCTGTTATACGTTGCCTTTGGCTGCTGGGGAGCATGGCTGAATCTCAAGCCCCTCGCCCACCCCAGACTCCCGTAGCCCCCTGAGACAGAAAGGGACAGGCATATCTGATAAGTAAGTTTGGCCACTGAATTGTTCTTTCCTCAGGAGATTCGTCCTGTTTCTTTGTTTCCTGCTCGATTCACAGGGTGAATCGTCTTAAACGCAGGCCAGAGATAAAGTGCAGCCTAATGCAATTAGCTCCGTGCAGCTGCAGGTCCTCGTGGGAGGCGACTCCTGCTCCTCCCAGCAGGCCCCAATGCCGAGCTGTTTGCTGTCTGCTTTGTGCAGCAAAGTCCTCCTAAGAGCGGCCCTCCCGCCCGGGGCCTGGACCTGGCGGCCTGCTGACCACAGACCCGGCGCCAGGGGGCGCTGCGTCCCGCCAGCAGAGCCGCTGGGCTTCTAATCAAACGCAAGAGCACCATGGCTCTCCCTGGGGACCCACAGGTGCCTGTGGGGCTGCTTTGGCCGTCTGTGACCGCCCCTGTGGGCAGCCACCTCTGCCTGGCCCCATCTCACCTTTCACCCGAAACCTGCTTGTCGTGGCTGCCCCTGGGAACCATGAGTGTTCTTCCTGAAGCCATCTCTGCGGAGACCCATACCCATCATGTGCCAGTTATCCCAGTCCAAAACATTTATTGGTGGGGTTTTGTTTTGTTTTGTTTTGTTTTGTTTGCTTATTATAAATAATGGAAATGGCCATAGTGCAAAATTTGGCAAATACAGAAAAGTGTAGACAAGAGAATAAAAGTCACCCATAATCCCCTCACACAAAATAATATCCTGCTAGCATCTATTTTTTCTTTCTCCACACATATTGTTTTGGAAAAATTGTTTTATTATATTTATGTCATGTCATATTCTGCTTTTCTCATTTAATATTATAGTGAAAGCATTTTACCATCCCATTAAGAATTTGGCAAATGTGATTTTTAATGACTATATAATATTCCATCAAGAGTTGTAGCTCAAGGAGACCAGTCTGTCTTTATGTTTGTTTTCACCCTGAGATTCATTTTCTCGCTAATCTAAATTGGGGAGTGAGATCCGGGACAGAAACCTGCCTCTTCCTGCAACAAGGAGCAGAGAGCCCTTGAAGTTGTGCCCTGCCTGCCCTGGACCTGGTGGTGGGACCTGAGCTGTCCCCCATCGGATGCCAGTTCCCATCATCCCCCTGTTGTGCAGGAGAAAGTTGGGGGTCTCAGAAGCTGGTGCAGTAGAGGGATGCCTGATGGTGTAACTTTGGGGAGCTCCAAGGAGAGCTGCCCGCCTAATGCCAAAGGACCAACCGCAGGGTGGCCCCAAGCCTGGGCCCAGTGGACATTCGGCACTCAGCATGCACCCAGGGATGAGGCTGCAGAGTGCTGCAGATCTCAGGGTTCAGGGGCCGGGGGCTGTCACTTCTCCCAGCGGAGTGCTCTGCCCTTTGTGATAGGGCAGGTGTAGTGAGTGGCCACAGAGGCTGGCCAACGAGGCGCTGGGGCGGGTATTCCTGGAGAAAGGACTCAACAGCAGCCACAGCTGCTACCACAGCCCCAGTGGGCCCGTGTCGCCCCGGGGGAATCGGGAAGGCTGGGTCTCCGCCTCCGCCCCCGGGTTCAGGCGGGAATACTGCTCAGGGCAGTGACCTGCCAGGCTGTGCTCACCTCCTGCTCTGCTTCTCCCCAGGCCCCCGGCATCTCCAAGGCGGACAGTCAGTCCCAGGGACTCACGGCCAGCAGCCGGTGGGGGCAGACGCCCATCAACCAGTCCACGCCCTGGGACACGGATGAGCCACCCTCCAAACAGATGAGGGAGAGTGACAATCCAGGTGAGTGTTTGTGGGGGTCAGAGGATATGCACTAGAGCTGGGTCCCCAGTTCCTCGGCAGATCCTGACTCACGGCCTCCCTGGAGGGTGTGGGATGCCCTGAGAAGCAGCCGTGTCTCTGCTACTTCAGGAAGCATAGGGGAGAGCAGGAGTGTGCAAGACGTTGCAGGAGTGACTTTGGGTGTGCTGCGGGCAATCCTGAGCAGTCACCCCCAAATCTCATTGCTGTGATTCAGACAAATTTCTCTAGTCACATCTTCTTGTGAGGCTTTGAGAATTGGAATGTTCTACACTCCTGGGGCTGGGGACTCCCCACCCCTGACAGCACCCCAGACTTCTGTGAGAGCTGTGACCGAACATAAGCCCTCCCTCTGACCGCCGCTGGCCTCAGGCCTCCCCTAGGATGCACAGAACTGGGCTGCCTGACCGTGCAACATGGCAGCCTGCACCCCTCCAGTCGCTGCAGGAAAACCCCCAGTTCTCAGTCATGCCCCAGGACCTGCGGCTCTGGTCTCTACCTCCCAGGGCCGGCCCCTCCCTCTGCACGCCTCGGGATCCCCAACCAACCCAGAGACCTGTGCGGTCACCAACCTCCCCTTTCCAGCCCACCTTCTCTGCTCACCAGCCCCGGGTCACTCTCCCCTGCCAGTAGGCCCATCGCAGGCTGTAAGACCCCAAGACTGTCGTGACTACACTGGGCCCTGTGCCTCTTGGGCAGCTGATTGTGGGACCCCACAGGCAAAACCTCATCAGCATCTTCCCGTGTGGCTGCTGGGTCCCCAGATGCCTGCTCACCGCGCCGAGCGGCCCCCCAAGTTGCCGGCTGCACACTGGGCGGCTGTGTTCCTCGTCATCACCCACACCCACACCGTGACAGGTGGTGAGTGGGACTCGGTGCACGCCCTTCAGGCCTCCAGCACCCTCGGGCTTCCCTGGCCCGTACCCCACCGCCTCCACGGCGCCTCCGAAGCTTCTCAGAGTTGGCTGAGTTCTTGCCAACTGGGCTCGCCACTTCCGATGCCTTTCTGCAGGCTCCCTGGGGGGTCCTGGAGACTCCTTAGGGCCAGTGCCTCGTCCTTGGCTCACCGCCACCCTCTTCCTCCTCTCAGGCTGGAGGATGCCGTCCCCCTTAGCTGCCCATTCTAGAATCTGGTCAACCTGCTTTACCGACTTCTGTCGGCTTCTAGTTTTCCCCAGCCTCTGGCTGCACATTCATTATGTCTGTGTGGCGACTGCATGCTCGCTGCAACCTAGAGGTGGGTGTCCCCATCCCGTTGCAGAAAGGACACCGTCTCGGGTCCCCAGTTGTGGGGCAGGACAGGGGCAGAGGGCTGTCTGTCAACGCCGAGCCTGGCTGTCCACCACCACACGGCGTGGCCTTCCTCTGGGTGACTCGGGGAGCACCGTCAGCACCCAGACGCCTGGGCTCCTGCTCCGCCCCTCAGCCCTTCTTCTGGAAGGGAGCCCCGCCCTGCCTCCAGCCTCTGTGGCTGGTGTTCTTCAATGGGCCCCTGGCCCCCTGCTCGGTCCTCAGTCCCCCCCCAGCTCCGAGACATGTAGGCATGTAGGAACGGGAGTCCTCGGCCCAGACCCGTTGAGGGGGTCCCGCCTGGCGGCCCCTGCCACGGAATCTCCTTGCCTCCTTCCAAGCACGCTGTGTCCTTGCAATGGCAGGCAGCCCAGCGCCCTGGGCACAGCTGGCCTCTCCTCTGGTATCAGGGGTCTCGAGGCTATCAAGCCCCGTGGAGCTTGCTTAGGACAAAGCCTGCCCCCACCCACCCTCCCAGGCCCCGGACAGCAGCCCCCGCTGGGCTCTGCCTCGGCCCCGCCGCTGCCAAACCACGGGGCCTCTGCACAGCTCCCGGACCTGCGCGCTCCTGCCTAGCAGAGGCCTCACCTGCACAAGCCCATTTCCTGCCCTGGAGATGACGATTCTCCAGAAGGGAAGGAAAAGCACATCTATGGACCATGTCACACGTCCACACACTCTGCTGGCTTGTTGGGTCTTTGATTTTCCAAATGCATTTTCCTCAGTCAGTGCTTCCCTGGAGACCCCTGGGGAAGAGGTTGCCAGCTCCATTTCGCAGCTGGGATGAATGAGGCTCAGAGAAGACAAGCAACTCGCGGCGGCCTTGGTGAGCAAGCGGCTGGACTCAGATTCCAGCTCGGTCTTCACAAAGGCCTCTGTTTTTTCTGTTCGCTGCCTCTTGGCCCTCCCGGGCAGACGGTCCCTCCTCTGAGCCCCACGTCATCTGCTCACCCCGAATACACGCATCAGGTGCGGCTGACGCCATGCCGAGTGTGCACGCTCCTGCAGGCTGCTTCTTGACGCCTCTGTGAGCCCAGCAGCCAGCCCAGGCCTGGGGCGGCCGGTGTGTGTCCAGGGAAAGAGCAACCCCAGATGACATCTCTTCCATCTCCCTTTCAGGCACAGGGCCATGGGTGACCACGGTGGCCGCCGGGAGCCAGCCCGCCCTGATCGCGCACTCCTACGGAGTGGCCCAGCCGCCCTCCTTCAGCCCGGCTGTGAACGTCCAGGCCCCGGTCATTGGGGTGACCCCCTCACTGCCTCCCCACGTGGGGCCCCAGCTCCCGCTGATGCAAGGCCACTACTCGCTCCCACAGCCGCCCTCTCAGCCACTGAGCAGCGTGGTGGTCAACATGCCCGCCCAGGCCCTGTATGCCAGCCCGCAACCCCTGGCCGTGTCCGCACTGCCCGGTGTGGGGCAGGTGACCCGCCCGGGACCCACCGCGGTGGGCAACGGCCACATGGCAGGGCCCCTGATGCCTCCGCCGCCACCGGCCCAGCCGTCGACCATTCTCCCCAGCGGTGCCCCTGCCACCAATGGGCCCCCCACGACCGACTCGGCCCACGGGCTGCAGATGCTAAGGACCATTGGCGTGGGGAAGTATGAGTTCACGGACCCCGGGCACCCCAAAGGTAAGTCCTCTGCCCACGTGCTCCCTGTTGTCCGCGTCTGCGCCTCCTCGCGTGGTCCTGAGACACAGCACGGCCAGCAGTGTTCCAGCCGCTCCTTCACTGTCCCCCCAAACCTGGGGCTGCAGGGGGACCCCCCCTGCCCGAGACAGTCTGAGCCCAGCTCAGACAGAGGAGGCAGAGGGAAGTGGAGGGCAGGACTAGGGAACGGGCAAGGGGAGAGGCGGGGAGGGGAGGGGCGGGGAGAGCCCGCAGAGCCGGGGCTCTTCCGCCTGCCCACACCAGCCACACCCACTGCTGACCCCAAAGCCAGGCCAGTGCAGGATGAGCGAGGAGCGTTGCCCTTCTGCTCCAGGGGGACGCGCGTCCACCCCTGGGGACAGTGAGATCACGAGCTGTGGGTGTCCCTCCCCAGGCAAGCACCCCGCTGTGCCGTCAGAGGACGGCAGCCGGGCACTGGCCGAGGCGCAGGAGAAACTCAGACGGTCCTGAGCCAGTTGAGTGTTGCGTTGAATAACCCAAGAAAGATTCCGTGCCAGTTAGCCGGGGGAAGGACACTCTGCCTCCGCCTTCAGCTAGCCCCCCCTCTGCAACCGACCCCCCACCCCGGGCAGTTTCACCGCCCCCCCCCCCCAGCTCCAAGGCAGATCCTCAAGAACAGAGCCCCAGCCTGAGGGTTTGGGCAAAGGGCATCAGCGGGTGGCCCAGGCCCTGGCGTGTCTCTGAGGGTCCGTCAGCAGGAATGCAGAGGGGCAAAGGGCCAGCGCCCACAGACGAGAGGCTGGTGCAGCGAGGGGGTCCTCTGTCCCGGCTTGCTGTCCCTCTGTCTCCAGAAACCAGGGGCCCTCTGGGGACTCCCGGCCTCCCTGGGAGTGGGCCTGGTGCAGGCCGGGGACACAGCGTCTCAGCCCCCTGCTACAGCGGAGACAGCCAGGCCCGGCTCCCTGGCCTCCCGCCAGCCACCCTCCTTCCGCCTGCGCTCAGGAATCTCGGTCTTTCTCCTTTCGAGCAATTTTCAGGCCTCGTCAAGCAACCCAGCCACTAAGCCGTGTCTAGATCTCCGCTGGGTTTAATTCCCAATCGGGTGGTGCCCTGACTGCCTTTGTTTTAGAAATCAGCCCTAGTTTGAAATGACAAAATTATAGAAAATTACATCTAAATTCCGCTACACTCTTGCTTTGTTTGAGATCTTTTTAAAAAAAAAGATTGACTAAGTTGATTTTTTGTTTGCATTGTTTGGGTTACACTCTCTCCTGTAAAACAACAAATCTGTGTGGTGTGTCGGTCGGTGCTAGGTGGGGGCCTGGCATGGGTGGGTCTGGCGAGAGCCCACGCGAGGCAGGGCGGGCCGTGGGCCCAGCCGCTGACGGCCGGTGACCCACCCCTGGCGCTGGCTGGGAAGCCTGTGAGCCGGCGGCTCCCAGAAATGCGTGTAACTCTGCCGCCCTCATCACTGACTTACCTCCTTATGTTTGCAGTGAAGAAAAGCGAAGCAGGCACAAATGCCTTCAAACTCAAACCTGGGTGGTTCTTTTTTTTTCTTTTTAAGTAATTTCTCCTTTCATTTCTAATCTTAAAAGCCTTTATTGCTAAAGCTATCATTTGTCTGTCATAGCTAGTGTCAAACAACTTCGTATTTTTTTTAAATAAGAAACTGAATTTTGAAACCAAATCTTTGAAAGTTGCCATGTGAGAAGCACATTCCTGGCAAAGCCACGCGGACTTGGATTTGGGTCATTTTTAATTTTGCCCCTAGGGATTTTACGTCTCCAAAGCTCAATTGATTGCACACTCCGAGATGACAGACAGTGGGCTGGGGCGGGACCGGAGGCCTGCCCCACGTACAGCCGCTAGTCAGAGCTCCCTCCGAAAAAAAGAACTTTCCTTTGCTCCTGTTCTCTCTTTGAAACCTCACCCAGCATTATAATAACAAGATCCACCGTAGGACTCTGCGATCTAGCTCATTAAAGCCCTCGATTTCCCCTACTTTTGTTGGACATGACAGCCCGGCCTCTCACAGGGTTGAGTAATTACGGAGAGGATCTCTCCACCAAGAGCTGGTCTCGCCAGCCTGGGGATGGGCCACCGGTATTTTTAGACTTCATTAGTGCTCTGATTTAAAATTCCACATTTTGTTTCTTGTAATTATCTTCCAATCGACTGAGCTGAAGTTTCGGTGGGGGCTATGTTGGTTAGTCTGCCTTCCAAAAAAAAAAAAAAGGGCGTTAGGACTTTAATTTAAAACTTAACCAATTGAAAAATAAAGGTGGTGTGGAAATGCTTTTTGATTTGCAATAGGTCAAGCGATTGTCTCTCATCTGTGACTAGAGAAGCCGCTGCATTCAGCTCCCTTTAATGAGTGTTATTTAAATGCACTGAGCATATATAGGTTTTTCTTAAGAAACTTACAAGATAAATCTTCCTTTCTCTAAGAACAAATTGGGGGTGGAGCGCAATCGGTAGGATTTTTTTTTTTTATTATATATTGAAAGCCAATTACAATAGATTTCGTGTGTGCAAAGTGATAAGGAAGGGAAAAAGAACTCCTTCTCTTTGAAGCCTATTGTGAACTCCTGAAGTCGTGTGTCTTGTTGTGGATGGCTGTCCCTGAACTAACCCCGGGGCAGAGGTGGTGCCAGCCTCAGGCCCAGGGGACCCCACGCCACTACCCCGTGCTCACTGCGGGTGCTCAGCAGAGGTGCAGGCTCGGGGTGACTCCCTTCTCCTGCCTCCTTCACAAGGATGTTCGGTGACTGAGAGGGTGGCTGGAGATGGCAGAAAGCCTGGGGTGCTGAGCCTGGAGATGAGTTGCTGCTGTATTTTCACCTGCTGGTCCAAGGAAAGAGTCAGGTTGCACCTGCTTCCATTCACTTCTGGACCAAAAAGCAAAGTCCACATTGACCTGAAAGGGGGAGACACTCTCTTCTGACTTCAGGTTTTGTAAGACTCGGGCGAGGATCTGTCTGCTGGGTTGGGCCTCCCTGCCCCAGGTCAGGAGCTGTGTTAGGGTGCACATAGCTGCTTCTCGGGCTCCACCCTCCCTGTCCTTGCCCCCAAACCTCTGTTCCGTGGAGCGTGTCTGCCCTCCTGCCAAGTTTCCCTTGGACAGCTGCTTCCCCAGGCCCCGTGAGTCACACTGGCAGGATCTAGTAAAGATGCAGAGACAGAGTGAATATCTGTGTGGTCCGAGAGAGTCTCTCACCTCCTTGCGCCTTCCCGTCCTCATCTTTAAAGTGGGCCGTCGGCACCACCCTTCATGGGCCGGAGGGAGCAGTGCCTGCGATCGGCACACGAGTGTGTCTTGTGCTGGGCCCAGTCGCCACCACGTACAGTTATCCTGTCCACCCCGCTCCAGGGCTGGAGGGCTCAGCACCGACTGGCAAAGGCCAGAGAGCCAAGGCCCCTCCTCCGTGCACAGGAGTGGAAGGCCAGAACCTGTTTGCGGGGCTGGCAGGCTGGCCAAGCCTCTCTAGGAGACCTCCAGGCCCCAATCCCTAAAAGGGAGTGGATGCGTCACCGACAATTGTGCCCAGCCCTGGATCTTGTCTCCCCGACCCTACCCACTCCCTGATCCATCCAGAACCCCAATGCCATGGAAGAAGCCAGGACACTTGATAAAGCTATTTGCCTACTTGGCCAGCCCAGAAGCACAGAAATGCCCCCAAGCTGAAGTCGTCCCCCACGGAGCAGCTCGTCTGGTGTCTCTGTCTCGGGGTCATCCTTGACCCTGGGTCATCCTTGACACCCCGCAACTCCTTTAAGTACTGAGTCAGAAAACACCCTTGATTCTGCCTCCCTGTCCTCTCCACCCTTCCCCTTTCGGGCCACCACCCCCTGTGGTTGGCCTGGGGCACCCCCTGCCCCGGGTCCCCATGCAGCCTGAGGCCTGGGAAGTACCTGCAGCCTCAGCCTCCTGCGTCACCTCCTGCCCTGCGCCAGCCCTGGGTCCCTCCCACCCAGCTAAGCCCTGTGCCATGGCCACCCCGCTCCCCCTCCAGCCAGCCTCATCCTGGTCTTCTCCCGATTAGCCTGTACCACCCCCATATCCTTTGTGTTACATGAAGACACAAAGCACAGCCTTGGGAACTGTGTGCCGACGTTCTGGGCCTTCTCTCCACTGCCTCCTCTCTTCGCATGGTGAAAGCAGGCCCCGACCTCTCTGCTGCCAGTCACCTCCACACCTGTCCCACGCTCTGGGAAATGGAAATCCATCCACTCCAAGTCCCTCCTGTGCCCAGGTGAGGTATTACATAATAATATGAACTGCCTCTTATTGTGGTGAGGACTAGGGTATTTGACATAAAACACCTGGAATTTTCCTAGCACTTTCTAGTCACTGTAAAAGAGTTTGCAATCACTGTTATTTTTACTGCCAGGACCAGGGCCACCTTCAGTGTGCACGACCTTTTAGGGACCCGAGGAATTGTGACAAATCCAAGACTGATTTGCCTGCTAGGGTGAGGGAGACCGGCTGGCATCTTGATGGTCAAAGCATGTAGTCCTTGGGGGTCAGCTTAGAGCAGAATAAAATCGCCCTTGTCCGCCATCACCCTAACAACCCAAAGGAAGCAACCCATTGCTGAAAACTTCCCCCTAGTTCCAGGAGTTGTTTGTCTTGGGGGGGAGGGGGAGGGGGTTCTTCCTTCTACCCTCAGGGGCACTCAGCACCCTGTGACATTTGGCATGAGATTGGGGTGTCAGGGACCCTGTGGGGTCCCCCTCCGAAACCACATCCATAGATGGAATAAGGAGAAGCTTGCCCTCTCTACACCAACCCACCAAAGCTGTAGGGGAGGCCCGTGGTTAGGAGCGTGAGGTCAGCTGCGTGGATGGAGCCAGGAACCCAGCTTCCACACCAGACTGCTTGGGTAGAATTCACATCTCAGTACACTTGTGCTAGAAAGTCGGAACGGAAGCCTCAGTTTCCTGATCTGTAACACGGAGGTAACGATAGCGCCATCTCCTAGACAAGCTTCGAGGACTAAATATGTCTGTAAAGACTT